TGCAGCTGTCGCTCTGACTCACAGACAGACTGCAGGTCAGAAACCCTGTGATGGTATCATATCCTCAGAGGCAGTATAGCAAGTATGGCGATTCTAGGCTTGTGTATGACTTTTTACCAGATATTTTATCATTATATATAATCATTAAATTACCATACATATTTTAATACCTGGGTAAACAGTCTAATTTCGTATTCTGCCTATGACATACTGGTATTAATGTTCTTAAAAGACTGTCTACTGACTAAATCTGGTTCGTCTTCTCCCTTTTGAAATTTTGCTTTTGGTTGGAAGTGTTTAAATATTTTAAGGTGCAGCTTGTGTCCCCCTAACTACATTTTTACATGCAAATGAAAATATTTAAGCTGATTTAATTGTTTGTCTTTCTTTCTCTCTTTCTTTTTCTTTTTTTTTTTTTTTGAACTTTTTTATTTTAATTAGAAACAGGATTCTTTTACATGAAAATCTCAGTTCCCTTCTCCCTCCGGTCCTCCTCTACCACCCCCCACCCCCCAAGTAAAACCCTATCTATCACATATCCTTTCTGCTTCCTCTGGATGGTGAGGCCTTCCATAGGGTGTCATCAGAGTCTATTGTATCCTGTGGGATAGGGCCTAGACCCACCCCCGTATGTCTTGGTTCAAGGAGTATCCTTCTATGTGGAATGGGCTTCCAAAGTCCACACCTATGCTAGGGATAAGTACTGAACTACTTACTATAGGAGGTCCCGTAGACTTTTGAGGTCTCCTCATTGAAACCCACGTTCCTGGGGTCAGTCCCATGCTGGTATCCCAGCTGTCAGTCTGGGGACCAAGAGCTCTCTGTTGTTCAGGTCAGCTGTTTCTGTGGGTTTCACCAGCCTGGTCTGGACCAATTTGCTCTTCACTGGTCCTTCTCTGCATTTGGGTTACAGTTCAGTTCAGTGATTAGTTGTGGGTGTCTGCTTCTACTTCCACCAGCTGCTGGATGAAGGCTATACGATGGCATATAAGTTAGTATCAATCTCATTATCAGGGGAGGGCATTTAAGGTAGCCTCTCCTCTGTTGCTTAGATTGTTAGCTAGTGTCATCTTTGTAGATCTCCAGACATTTTCCTAGTGCTTGATTTCTCTGTAAACCAAAAATGTCTCTCTCTCTATTATGGTATCTCCATTCTTGTTATCATCTATTCTACCCCTGACTCAACCTTTCTGCTCCCTCATGTCCTTTGCATCTCTCCTCTTCTACCCTTCTCATTCTCCTAGTTCCTCCCCCCTTCTTGTGCTCCCAATTTGCTCAGGACATCTTAAGCCTTTCCCCTTCTCCAGGGGACCATGTTTGTCTCTCTTAGGGTCCTCCTTGTTTATTAGCTTCTTTGTCAGTGTGGATTGTTGGCTGGTAATCCTTTACTCTATGTCTAAAATTCACATATGAGTGAATACATAAAACAACTTTCTGACTAAACATTTTGTTTCATCTTCCCGACTGGAGCTTATTGGTCATTCTTTTCATCAGCACTGAGATGTATTGTTTACCTTTTGACAGATATTTACTTATTATCTGCAGTGCACAAGATACAGCACAAGCTTTGCAGTGCCTCAATACTGAAGCTAAGGGAACCTCTCTCTGTTTCTCTGTCCTCTTTTTTCTCTCTGTGTTACTGGCCAATGAAGAAAACAAATCCCCATGCAATTTTCATCATTATATCATAGATGTCTGCTTTCAATTGTCTAGCTAATGGAGCACATTAAATACATGAATTTGTAGACATTTCATTTTCCTCTGGGACGCATGCTATATGTTAACATTTCATTAGAAGGAAGAGTCATGTTGAAGCAGAAAAGGAACTCCTTCCTAATGTGTTTGTGTGAGAGAGAGAAGGGAGGGAGGGAGGGAGAGAGATTGAAGAGAGAGAGAGAGAGAGAGAGAGAGAGAGAGAGAGAGAGAGAGAGAGAGAGAGAGATATTAAAAGCTAGTTCCTTATCAATGAAGGGCACTATCAATCACCAATTAAAGACATAAGGGGTGACACTGAGGAGCCAATTATCAAGGTTTAATACAGATAACCTAGATCACTCTATCACCAAAACTAAATATTAAATAGGTGTGTTGTACACATTGTGTGTACTGACCTCATATATATTTATAAAGTTTCTCTGCTTATGTTACAGAAAATAGAAATTATCGATGATGAAGAAAGTGACATGATAAGCAATTCTGAGGTAGAACAAGTGAATTCTCTCCTGGAGTATAAGGTAAAAGTAATTTCAAGTTCTAAATTCATTAAGGGAAGTTATTGAGTGGAAAAGATTTATAGTGCCTCTGACTATCCCGTCTGATAGACTAAGCAGACTGGGCCTCTGTACTGATTATCTCAGGCAACTTGAAAATTAGTCAAAATGTTGAGCATTTTAATATTGCTGGTTTGGAGGGCCATTATGGTTTTAAACAAAGCGTTTACTGGCT